GAGGAGAAGGGATTATAAAAGAATCAAGTGAGGGAGGGAGATGGGGAGTGACGTAGGGGGAGGGGAGGGGGTAAGAGAAAAAGGCTTTCGGAAGGGGAGAGTAGAAAAGTGAAGAGAAGGTGTGAAAGTTAAGTGGTTGGAGAGAGAGAGAGAGAGGGGGGGGGGGGGGTAGTATATTGAGAGAAAACAGTTGGTAGAGTGTCAGTACATAAGATGGTAGATGGCAAAAAAGATGAGGTCCAAGAGCTAAGAGTTTGATTCTGAGGTACAAACAGTAAACACACACACACACACACACACACACACACACACACACACACACACACACACACACACACAAATTCTTGGATTGCCAGAAAGCTTTTGACACAGTCCCCCATAAACGACTGTTGCACAAGTTGGAGAATCAAGCTGGAGAAAGTGGTTGAGTTATCCAGTAGATAAGGGAGTACCTAAACAACAGGAAGCAGAGAGTTACTGTGAGGGTGAGTCTTCAGACTGGCGTGATGTCACCAGTGGAGTCCCAAAGGGCTCTGTACTCGTACCTATCCTGAACCTGATATACGTGAATCATCTTCCAGAAGGTATAGACTCATTCCTCTCAATGTTTGCTGATGATGCTAAAATTTTGAGAAGGATTAAGCCAGATGAGGACAGCAAGAGGCTACAAGATGATCTGGACAGACTGAAGGGATGGTGCAACAGATGACTACTAGATTTTAATTCGAGCAAGTGCAAAGTGATCAATATGGGCTGGGAGAGGAAATCCTTCAGGAGTCAGGACGAGGGGAAAATCTGGGGGTTGATATCACACCAGACCTGTCCCCTGAAGCCCAAAAAGATAACATCAGTGGCGTATGCAAGGCTGGTAAACATGAGAACTGCCTTCAGAAATTTGTGTTAGGAATCATTCAGAACTTTGTATACCACATATGTCCGACCAATACTGGAATATGCGGCTCCAGCCTGGAGTCCACATCTAGTTAAACTCAAAACGAAGTTAGAAAAGTTTCAGAGGTATGCCACCAGGCTTGTCCCCGAGCTGAGAGGTATGAGCTATGAGGAAAGATTACTGGAACTGAACCTCGCGACACTGGAAGACAGAAGAGTTAAGGGAGACATGAATTAAGTATTTATTGATTAATTATATTGTTATTAAATTCATTCCTGCTACGTAGGAACATAATCTCGTTTCTGGAGAAAATTGCTACGAATTCAATTTTCTCTGAATGAGTAACTAAAGTAATTTGTTTAATTTGGATTAATACAAAATCAGCAGCAATATTAGTTTCTGCATATTATGTTAGAAGTTAGAAATGTCGTCGGGAATTTCCAACACATGAAGGAAATACAGAGAACATAGAACAGAAGGAAATCACAACGCATACACAGAGGAAAGAAATAGGTACACAGAAACTAAGTTTTTTTTTTCCTACCACAGACGTGGCCACACATTTACAATGCTAACCAGCATATATACATTTTCTTCTGTCCTCCATGGACAGGGTTAGAGATGTGTTAAACATATAGTTCAAGGGTTTATTGAACAACTAAGAGAGTGGCAGAGAAGCAGTACGAGGATCACATGCATACAAGACTAAGTCTGAGCCAAAGTCTGGGCTAGAACTGTCCCATGGTCATATCAGGAGGAAGATAACTGTGAACGATCATGTTATCAGACGTGACATAAGGGAAGGACACACAAAGAATAAGGAGGAATATTATCAACTTAAAATCTTCCAGGAAGTATTCAAGCTGGAACCTGATTCACCACAGGAGTTATGAGGTCAAGCTGGGAGCAGAGGGCAGACTTACACGGGAACACCTCACTTAGATGGCTGTGTTGCCAGAAGGTCAAGCTGGGAGCAGAGGGCAGACTTACACGGGAACACCTCACTTAGATGGCTGTGTTGCCAGAAGGTCAAGCTGGGAGCAGAGGGCAGACTTACACGGGAACACCTCACTTAGATGGCTGTGTTGCCAGAAGGTCAAGCTGGGAGCAGAGGGCAGACTTACACGGGAACACCTCACTTAGATGGCTGTGTTGCCAGAAGGTCAAGCTGGGAGCAGAGGGCAGACTTACACGGGAACACCTCACTTAGATGGCTGTGTTGCCAGAAGGTCAAGCTGGGAGCAGAGGGCAGACTTACACGGGAACACCTCACTTAGATGGCTGTGTTGCCAGAAGTAGTAAAGTAACTACACAAACTGGATGTGACATGAGCTGCAACACCAGACAAAATATCGCCTTAGATACTAAAGAAGGCAACTGAAGCATTGTGCAGTCCCCTTGCTATAATATTTAATTGTAGTCAGCACATTGAGCAACCTATGGCGGGGTCCAAGAACTAACAGCTCGATCCTGCAAGCACAAATGGTAAATCTAGACATATTCTCCCAGCGTCTACCCAAGAACGATTGACTTGGCACCCGTCCTCTTAACTAATAACTATTTTTTACATTATCTTAATCAACATTACAACTACAATAGCTAAACAATGGCTCACAAACATCCTCGTTTTCTATGCATCGAATTCAATAGGTTAGGTGGGTTGCTTGGGTTCTTAGGGTCCTGGTTAGGTTGAGAGGTTGGGTTGTTTACAGAATGGAAAATACCTTAACTCTTCACCTCCTGTTCACCTACCTACAACTGGGGAACTGGTTGTAAATTGATTGGCGGGTTGTGTTTCAGGGGGAAAACTTATAGCGTTAGGCTTCTACTCCTGCACCCACCTGGAAGGGGGAAGGGGGGGGGGGAGTGGAAAGGAGATAGAATTGTAATGGGAAAGGGGGGGGAGGAGCCAGCAAGACGCCAGATAAACAGATGGATTTCCCCTATTCCCCTTTCTTCCTTATCCCTACCTCCCTCCTACCTCCCCTCCCTCCCCATCACCCTCCTCCCTACCCTACCTTACCCTACCTTACCCTAACCTAACATATGTTACCACTCCCACCTCGTAAGCATTGTATTATGACAATAACCAGAATTACTCTTTTTTTTTCCTGGGGCACTATTCCTAGATTATTCTGTTGAGAGACTTGCTTGATCATTCTTTGACATTCTTAGCTCATTCCTGGGGAACTACTCCTAGGATACTGTTGTTAGATCATTACTAGGAAATGTGCCTAGTTCATTCCTGTGATAGTGATCCTAGGACCTTCGTTGGAGGCCATTAGTGATCCATTGGTAAGAGACAATCCTGGGAGCACAGAGAGCAACGCTTGGTGTCTCACTAGTGTGAGAGGTGAGAGAGAGAGAGAGAGAGAGAGCAACGCTTGGTGTCTCACAGGTGTGAGAGGTGAGAGAGAGAGAGCAACACCTGGTGTCTCACTAGTGTGAGAGGTGAGAGAGAGAGAGAGCAACGCTTGGTGTCTCACAGGTGTGAGAGGTGAGAGAGAGAGAGAGAGAGAGCAACGCCTGGTGTCTCACTGGTGAGAGAGGTGAGAGAGAGAGAGAGAGAGCAACACCTGGTGTGAGAGGTGAGAGAGAGACAGAGCAACGCCTGGTGTCTCACTGGTGTGAGGTGAGAGATAAGGAGACAGATCTCACTCACCTGACGGGTCCTCCTCTCTCTGTCCACCTCACTTTTAATTTAAAAGTTTCTTATCCCGGGATTAAAATTTATATTCCCATTTGTGTTCCTGTTCCCTTGGAGCTCACACACGCGCACGCACACACACTCACTCACAGGGGTCTGGTAGCTGAGTGAACAGCGCACAGGGCTCGTAATTCTGTGGCGCGGGTTCGATTCCCGCACCAGGCAGAAACCAATAGGCAGATTTTCTTTCACCCTGATGCCCCTGTTACCTAGCAGTAAATAGGTACCTGGGAGTTAGTCAGCTGTTACAGGCTGCTTCCTGGGGGTGTGTGTGTGGGGAAAAAATAGTAGTTAGTAACAGTTAATTGATTGACAGTTGAGAGGCGGCCCGAAAGAGCAGAGCTCAACCCCCGCAAGTACAACTAGGTGAATACAACTAGGTGAAAATACACAGGTGTAAGGGTAGGTGTGTGTGTGGGTGTAGGTGTGTGTGTGGGTATAGGAGAGGGTGTAGGTGTGTCTGTGGGTGTAGGAGAGAGTGTGGGTGTGTAGGGGTGTGTGTGTGTGTGTGTGTAGGTGTGTGTGTGTGGGTGTAGGTGTGTGTGTGTGGGTGTAGGTGTGTGTGTGTGGGTGTAGGTGTGTGTGTGTGGGTGTGTGTGTGTGGGTGTAGGTGTGTGTGTGTGGGTGTGTGTGTGTGTGTGGGTGTGTGTGTGTGTGTGTGTGTGTGTGTGTGTGTGTGTGTGTGTGTGTGTGTGTGGAGGGGTGAGGGCCGCCGCTGGGATCAACATAACCTGCCCCAGTCTGCTAGGGAAGATACAGGAGGCCAGTGTTGACCTCACTAATTGGTCTGGATAATTACTCCAGTAGATGAACCTGACCCGTGATTAATGCTGGGGGCGCCGGTAAGTGATAGGGGGGGGAGGGGGGGGCCAGGGAAGGTACACTCACATATCTCAGAGATGTCTGAGACAAACTCTCACAGAGAGAGAGTGGGTGTAGAATATAATCTACTCACTAAGATATACTCTGCTGACTTAGGATGAACAACCCAGGGGGTTTTCTTCCTATTGGGGAGTGTAGTACACGCTGCTACGACGGGTTTTCTTCCTATTGGGGAGTGTAATACACGCTGCTACGGCGGTGTGACCACTCACAAGATGAGTGACGCTGCCCAATAACCTCGCCCCTCGGGGCAAAATGTTAAAAAAAAATGTAATTTAAGATGTGTGTGTTGCCCTCAGGCGGAAGACGAGGATGGAGATGGTGCGGATCTCAGCGGCGGTGATGGGTATAGAGTTCTGCTACGCGGCCGAGACGGCCTTCGTGTCGCCGACGCTGCTCAAGATCGGCGTCCAGCACCGTCACATGACCCTCATCTGGTGCCTCAGTCCCTTCATCGGCTTCTTCCTCACCCCCATCCTCGGCTCTCTCTCTGACAACTGTCGCTCCAGGCTCGGCCGCCGCCGGCCCTTCATCATCCTCCTCTCTATTGGTATTATCCTCGGTAAGGGGCGCCTAGTTTATCATTATGCTCGGTAAGTGGCGCTGACTTAATCATTAGCCTCGGTAAGGGGCGCCTAGTTCATCATTATCCTCGGTAAGTGGCGCTTGCTGCACCATTATCCTCGGTAAGTGGCGCTTACTGCACCATTATCCTCGGTAAGTGGCGCTTACTGCACCATTATCCTCGGTAAGTGGCGCTTGCTGCACTATTATCCTCGGTAAGTGGCGCTTGCTGCACCATTATCCTCGGTAAGTGGCGCTTACTGCACCATTATCCTCGGTAAGTGGCGCTTACTGCACCATTATCCTCGGTAAGTGGCGCCTAGTTCATCATTATCCTCGGTAAGTGGCGCCTAGTTCACCATTATCCTCGGTACGTGGCGCTTACTGCACCATTATCCTCGGTAAGTGGTTCCTAGTTAAGTGACGCTTCAGTGACACATAACCACTCACTGTGAGACTGTATCACCAGATCTGTGTCCCTGTGACACGTGGTGGCTGTGTCTCCGTGTGTGTCTATGTGTCCATCTTGGGTCACTACTGAACTGCCTGTTGTTATTGTTCTCTCTCTCTTCCCTACTCTCTACACCATCTCTTCTTATTACCTCCTCTCCCTTGCCCTCCTCCTGCTCCTGCTGCTGCTCCTGCCCCTGCTCCTGCTGCTGCTGCTGCTTGCTAGCAAGGCGCGACTCTGAGTGAGTTCCCTTGTCTGGTCGTCTGCTGGTATTTACAAGTTCTCTCCTCAACTTCCCCCCTCCCCATATATGTCTTCATCCCCCACATATATATACCCCTCCCCCTTCACCCCCCTCCCTTACTCCCCCCCTCCCCTACCCCCTTCCCCTTCGGTATATCGTCCCATATAATTAAAGAACGAGTCTCATTATACACTAATAAAACCTCATTGTAGACATAAATCTCGTTGGAGATTAAAATAACATCATAGATTCATAAATCTATTGAATCATTGTAGATCATTGTAGACTCGTAACTCTCATATTGATCAATTAATCTCTGGCTTACGATTCTGAGAACAGAATAATAATTATTATGAGTCTTATGAGAGGCGCTTTCTTATATATATATATATAATAATCTTATATTATTATAAGACTCATGAGTCTTATGATAAGACTCAGGACTGTGAGTAAACAGGAGGGTTGATATGAGTAAGCAGAGCTGTGAGGAAAGAATGAGGTATATAGAGATTACATTACAATTGCAGATCGTCGGTCTATCCATCGGGGGAGGGGGGGGGGGGTGTTACTCAGTTACTCACCTGGTTGAACTCACCTATATGTTACTTTGGGGATTGAGCTCCGTCTCTTGAGCCCCGGTTGCCGCCTGCCAGCCTGCATAGTTTACTAAGTCAAGGCGAGACGCGAGTGATCCAGAAGTATCGACTTACCTGTCAGGTGAAGCACCTTCCTATTGGGATAATGAAGCAATGTCGACCTAATTTGCATACCGGAAATGACACTTCCGTAAAGGCTGTGGTTCTCGTTATTGGCGCGTCAGTAACTGCTGCTCCTGGTGGAGGGAGAAGGTGGTGAGGGAGAGACTTATTGGAGAGAAGGAAAATGGAAGATAGGAAGAAGGACAAGACGGAGAGATAGGAGGAAGGAAGGATGAACAAAATAGAACAAAAAACAATAGATCGATAGAGCCAGAGAGGAGACTTCTCTAGCCTTACGTGATGACTCTTTGACACACCAGTTGGCTCTATCTATCCTATCCCCCGCCCCCCCGCCTCCAGTTTCAACCTCCCCCCCCCCCTTCTATCCGTAATCTATCCCCCCTCTCACCCTCCACCACCCAACACTCCAACATTGCTCCTTCACTGGTAAACCTCCACCAGTCACCCTCCAACCCCAAGCCGCCTCTACCTTAGCCTCCAACAGCTGTCCATCTTCCAACATATTAAAGGGAAGGATATCAGGCAATAAAGAGATATGTATGGGGGGGGGGGAAAGGAGAAGAAACGTTATTATAGGAGGAGAAAGAAAGATTAAAAGAAAGGAAGGAAGGAAGAAGGCAGTGGAACAATAGACAAGTTGGAACAAGTGCCTATGAGAGAGAGAGAAAGAGAGGGGAAGAGGGAGGGAGAAAGAGAGGTAGAAGGAGAGGGAACGGGAGGTAGAAGGAGAGGGAAAGGGAGAGAAACTGCGGAGTCTTAAAACCCAGTTAATGACTCGGGCCACTCACCAGGAGCTCTCTACACCCAGTCACACCCACCAGGAGTCATACGTCTTGAAATAGATGGTGTAGTCTTACCTATACACTGACATCGTTGTGGCTGACAGCTCCCAAGTGGTTGTGTGAAGGCACAGACGACATTCCTCTCATTCAGGACGTTACTTTTGTAGCATCTGGTAAGGCCATCTACTGCTAAGATGTCATCCCTAAGGGCCACTTTTCTGTCCATTGTGGCCTTCAGGACTCTATCCTCCGTCTTATGGGCGTCGGAAAGACGTTCCTGAAGCAGAGTTTTATACTGACAGATTCTATAGTGTAGACGAGGAGTCACAATAACGTGGGTGAAATATGTTGACCAAACGTCGTCGTCCCTTCACTTTCTAGTGTGTGGTTTGGTCAACAGATTCTATAGTGTTGACCTCTTGCGTGAAGGCACATGGTTGACATCAGTATTAAGACCTACTTCCTGTGTCAGATCCCTAGGTACAGGCTCCAGTAGGCCAGCCTGTACCAAGGGAACTGCTACAGGCTCCACCACAGTTCCCTTCTGAGCCTCACATCTGTGAAAGGCAGCTTACCTTGGCTATTTCATGTTAAGCTAAGCACAGACTTAAGCTCGAAAGATTCCTAAAGCTGTCTTAAGCGTTTCCTCTCACATACCTTCAAGGAGATGTCAACATACCTGCAGTAGACGTCAGGTTTGTGGTCGGGACATAAAGGTGACGTCTTTCTCCTCCTCAATGACATCCATGTGATAAATCGTCAACATGACACCATCACCTGTGGCTGTGTGTGGGACAGTGAGTGTGGCGAGGCGGGTAGTGAGGGTGAGGTAGAGTGTGAGGAAGAGGACACCAGTATGAGGGATGATGGTGGGGGATGGTGAAGGGGGAAGGGGTTCGGACAGTGACTGGTGAAGCGTGAAGCAGATTGTGGTGGTGTGGTTGTGGTGCTTGCCTATTACCACTTACCTATTACTACTTACCTATCACTACTTACCTCACGATATTTATCATAATGTTTAATGCTACAACTTTCAGGTCTTTGTGAATGTGTTGGGTCAATAAGATTTTCATTAAATAATGATTTAAGTGTTCTCTTTGTCACTGCTAATGAAATACCAATGTCAATTTCTACTACTGGTTTCCTACAGGCTGTCTTTGCAAGCATATCAACAGTGTCATGCCTTGAGATGCCAACATGTGATGATATCCAGAGGAATTTAATTTCAAATCTGTTTTCTTTAGCAGCTAAAACATTCATTCGTATATCACTGACTATTTTCTGGGTGTCACTACTATGTGCGTTCAATGCCAGGAGTGCACTCTGCGAGTCACAGTATATAAGTCCACTGCCTTTGTCTTTTAAAACTTCAGTGGCAAGGTATATACCTGCAAGTTCGGTTTGAGTTGTACTTGCCCAGTCATTGACGCGCTTCATTACTGTATGTACGAGAGAAGCTCTCTCAAAACGCAAATGTCGAATACACAATGTGTCAACTTTGTGAAAGAGAAAACATGCACTCCCTTGAACATTATATTGTAGAATATCCCATATTGACTGACTTTCGCCCTCCTGGGCTGAGGTATGCTGAACTCTATATGAATACTGGACTATATGAAATTAAAAACTATATGAATACTGGAACACTTGATGATATACTAGACTTGTACCCAAGATTGACTATATAATGCGTCTGTTATACAATGTATGTGATGTAACTATAACCTGAGCTTGTAAAAGTATCTCTTAATCACCTTCAGTGGTTAAGTGCTTAATAACTCACTAGTTTCTGTAGCAGTTGTCTTACCCTGTCAGAGCAGGAGAGGCATAACTGTGCTAGGGTTCAGGTGTCTTCAAGACTCTGTACTAGTAATCTCTCCATCTTTATTCTCGCATTAATTTTTATGCAAATCTCTGCATTATTTCAATTTTGGTTTTGTGCTTCACAAGATGCGGATTCCAGGCCGGTGCTGCATATTGTAGTATAGGCTTTACACATGGTGTATATACTGAATTGAAAGAACATGTATTTTCAAGGACGTTTAATATTTGCCAGCGTCCTATATATATGTGTAACCTTCGCTTGAATCAATCAAGTGATCCCATTTATACTAGGTGACCCGGTAAAACTGTTCCACATATCAACAACCCTATTTCCAAACCAGTATTTACCCACAACCCACATTTTTACCCTCTGCGACCCACAACATCCCCCCCCCCCCTGATGCAACCCGTCCCATTCTACGGACTCCTACACCACTTTTGACTATGAGTTCGATCCACTGAGGTTCTCCTCAGGTTTGGGACGGTCGTAGTCTCATATTTCACTACTACATATTCACATGTGGGTATATTATATATACCCACATTAATATCCATTGTTTGGTGTTTTGTGTTGGTGACTGAGTGTGTTGCCTGCTGCAGGCCTGGTGCTGGTGCCCAATGGGAAGGCCATCGGCCTAGCTCTTGGAGACGACTGGAACACCACGACCCTCGCCAACACCTCTTCCTCCAACGACCCCTTCACCTCCCAGCAGGTAGGTCCTCACCCGTCTTGTCATCGTCATTGTTATTGTTACTTCCCTTTAGACGGGTAGGTGTGAGTCGTGGGTTGTGTTGTTCTGATGTTCCGTTATGTGTGACAGGTGAGTGAGCTGATGACGGCTACGGAGGCCGGCTTCCTCAACGCCAGCACCATCACCCAGGTCGTCACCCAGCTCCAGGACCCCGACAACGTCTCTCTCATTGATGCTGGTAAAGTGTGTGGGGTGAGGGGGCGGGTACTAAGGCGGGTCTCTCTACTTACTGCTCCACTCAGCTAACATATTTAGGGGAATATTCACACACACACACACACACACACACACACACACACACACACACACACACACACACACACACACACACACACACACACACACACACGCACGCACACACACACACACACGCACACACACACGCACACACACACGCACACACACACACGCACACACACACGCACACACACACACGCACACACACACACACAAAGAGTCAATGCTCGATCCTGCAAGCACATATAGGTGAGTACACACACACACGCACACACACACACACACACACGCACGCACGCACGCACACACACACACACACACACACACACACACACACACACACACACACACACACACACACACACACACACACACACACACACGCACACGCGCGTGTACAACTGTCTCCCTGTGACAGACTTCCAATCTTAACCAAATCGCTTTGCAACGCCACCTGTTATTTCCGTTCTAGATCCCCCGTTGCTCGCCTCTGACTGTCACTTTTATCCCCTTTCCCCTCGTGACATTATATATATATATATATATATATATATATATATATATATATATATATATATATATATATAACTGAAAACTCATCAGCAAAAACTGTCCTGGGGACCATTCAGGCTTGTTCGCATATATATATATATATATATATATATATATGTATATATATATATATATATATATATATATATATATATATATATATATATATATAAATGTGTGTGTGTGTGTGTGTATATCACGAAAATAAACACGTGATTAAAAATGTGACAGTGTCAGACCACGGAGGAAAATTGAAACAGGAATTTCCTTAAGTACTTTCGTATATTAATACATCTTCAGAAGGAGTCTGAAGATGTATTAATATACGAAATACAGACCAAAGAGATCAGCCACGATGGCTGACAGACAGCCCACTTTACATACACATCGTCTGTGACTGAGAGAGAGCAGCAGACAGGTCGTGTGGTAGACAGTTTACGGTAGTGTAGCGAGGTAACACTGAAGATCTCCCTCAAGAGAGCCAGCTGTACACAGTGTCCGACCGACAGGTTCGTCAGCAGCGCCGCCAGGAGTCTCTGAAGGCCAGGAGGAGCAGCAGGAGGAGGACAAGACCGGGTACCAGTCCCACCCGTGGGGCATCTTCTTCACCATCGTCGGCACCATGTTGCTCGACTTCGACGCCGACGCCTGCCAGAGCCCCTCGAGGGCCTACCTGCTCGACGTCACCATTCCCGGTCAGTCTCTCACCTCTTCTCTCACCTCTTCTCTCACCTCCTTTTCTCTCACTCCCTGTCAGATTTAGCTACTCAGGACGTAATGTCCATGTAGCACGGGCTATGGTGAGCCCGTACCCCTGTCCTCCATCTAATCTCTTATTATAATTCATTGTGTTGGGGAAACAGACAGCCAGTGTATATATATGCAAGTTAGGGTTATATCGAGGTCCCCCCCCCCAAGATAGAACTACTGACTCGCCAGGATGCAGCCCCTACAACAAGCTGACTAACTCCTGGGTACCTGATTACTGCTAGGTGAACAGTGGTATTAGGTGATAGCAAACGTTGAGAAATTTATACATAATCTAGACATGATACTTAATCTAGAATAAGATAAATAATCCAGACTATGATACATGAACTTTAAGCATCACTATTACCAAAAATGTAAAACCCGGGTCCATCTCAAACACCAAACTTTATTATATAAACCTTTAGCCCAGCTGTGGCAAGTATAGAGGTGCGCACAACACACCCCCGCCTCCCACAACACACCCCCGCCTCCTACAACACACCCCCGCCTCCCACAACACACCCCCGCCTCCCACAACACACCCCCGCCTCCCACAACACACCCCCGCCTCCCACAACACACCCCCGCCTCCCACAACACACAGCACTTTACCCGCACAAAATATACACAAAAAACTGGAGGTCTTGATAAAAAATCAGTAATTTTGTTTATGTAATAAGGGAATGATATCTTTGTTTTGCATGCTGCCGAGGCTGCCAGAGACGAGAGACGCCCTACAGGCCTGGAGAGAGAGAGCAGCTCCTAGCTACTTTACACCACCAATTGCTAACTTTTCTTTCCTTAAAGCCGCTCGTCTTAAGGTTTCAATTAATTTACACAACAAAATCCTATCAGCAGTGTTTCATATTCGCATGGCGGCGCTGAAGACTTAGCGGGACTTAGCCGCCAGCCACAATAAGAGTGGGGATGGTGGCGCCTCCGTGTCCCCGTGGCTCTTGGGGGCACTGTGGCTCTTGGGGGCACTGCGGCTCTTGGGGCACTGTGGCTCTTGGGAGCACTGTGGCTCTTGGGGTCCCTGTGGCTCTTGGAGTCCCTGTGGCTCTTGGAGTCCCTGTGGCTCACTAGGGAGCACTGTGGCTCTTCGGAGCACTATGACTCTTGGGGTCCCTGTGACTCTTGGGGTCTCTGTGGCTCTTGGGGGCCCTGTGGCTCTTGGGGTCCCTGTGACTCTTGGGGTCTCTGTGGCTCTTGGGGGCCCTGTGGCTCTCAGAGGTCACGATACGCAGCCAACTTCGCTCTGAACTAAGACACCCACTTAAGTTTGGGTTTAATTAAATATAAAATAACAACCAACGTGTTAATTAAATTGAATGTCTCCCTGAAGAGAGATTTGTCGCTCTGGCAATTTGTTTACTGCCAACATGCAGAGCAGAAGTCACACTAACGTCACTCAAAATGATTAAAATATGATTTATTAATTTTTTCGATGTTTACAATTTTTTTAATAAAACTTTTAAATGGGGAACTCGGCACTGTCCTTAAGTTTAAAAATACTTCTTACCTGTTTGAGGTTGTTTTAATTTGTGCAATTTTGAGCATTGTTCGATTGAGTTGAGTTACTTAGTTTATTAAAGTTTGTATAATGTGTTACTTAAAGGTTGGATTATTGACAGTATTCATTGGAAGTAAACTTTGCGATATTAACTGAAGGTTAACTCTCCAATATTGATGACCAGACCACACACTAGAATGTGAAGGGACGACGACGTTTCGGTCCGTCCTGGACCATTCTCAAGTCAATTGTCGACTTGAGAATGGTCCAGGACGGACCGAAACGTCGTCGTCCCTTCACATTCTAGTGTGTGGTCTGGTCATCATACTTTAGCCACGTTATTGTGACTCATCATCCTCTCCAATATTAACAAGAGGTTAACTGTCCAATATTAACTAGAGGTTAACTGTCCAATATTAACTGGAGGTTAACTGTCCAATATTAACTGGAGGTTAACTGTCCAATATTAACTGGAGGTTAACTGGCCAATATTAACTGGAGGTTAACTGTCCAATATTAACTAGAGGTTAACTGTCCAATATTAACAAGAGGTTAACTGTCCAATATTAACTAGAGGTTAACTGTCCAATATTAACTAGAGGTTAACTGTCCAATATTAACTGGAGGTGACAGTGTTGTTGACCTGGACTGAGGTGGGATTGAACACGCGAGCATTTCCAGATTTCAGAATTTAAAAAAAGAGAGGACAAGAATCGCGCTAAATCTACCTGAATTCCTTTCATCTATAATACTCAATTCCGACGTTATAAAATGTGAGAATCCAATTAAAAAAGTAATAACCGGATCAGCAGATGGCATCACTGACGTGGAGTGTGAATACGGCGGTGGAAATGTGCACTTGTAAAAGTGACCGACCCGGTGCTTTAAGGAGGCCTGGAAGTGTTTTTTTGAGTTCTGCTCATAAGTTCATAAAGCTCTACTCTACCATTTAGTGCTCTATGTCATTATACTCAAGGAACCCTCGACTTAGTCTCAAATATTTAGTAAATTAGGCTATTCTCAAATAATAAGTACATGAGGCTATTAACAGACTAACGAATTACGATCGCCTCATATTGATGATACGTTCATGTCATTTTCTTCATAAAACATTATAGTCATCTATTTTATAAATTACACCTCAGAGCGAGAGACAATTCTCTCTCTTTTTCAACGTTTATCGAAAATGTTTTTTGTGCTTGAGGCAGAAGTGGGTTGTGTAGAGCGGAGGAAAAGTTTGGTAGCGTGACAGAGGCAGGCTGCCACCGCTACACCAATATTGGATGAGTTGGGAGCAGGTTTCCGTGTAACGTGTTGGAGTGTGTGAGGCTTCGGACCTGGCAGTGTTCATACACACTCAACTCTCCTCGCCAATACTTACAAACTTTAACAACAAAAATATCCAGACAAACACCCGTTAAATCTTCCAAACACCCGGGTAAACACCTGCTTAAACATTCAGACTAACACCCTACAAAATATTTAGATTTCCACCCTCTAAAACCTGCAGACTTGTGTACAACAGGTGAGTGGAGATCACGTTAAACATGACCGTGATAATGGATGGTGGGGTGGTGTAGAACATGAACAGGATCGAGCCGTGGGGGGAAAATATTAAATTTCAATTGTGAAAAGGGAAAGATAACACTTAGTGTCGAGTGAGATAATGATGGATACAGAGTAATATTTTGTTTTTTTTCAAAGCGAAGACTTTGAAAAAAACAATTGAATTTCAACCTCCCCCCCCCCCACTTCGGGACGTAAGTGTAAGGAGGAGATGGTAGACAGTGCCAACACGGACAGCCTTACAGGTCACAAGTCATTGCAAGAACAGGTAGTATGACGGGACACTAGAGCTGAAGCTCAACCCAGGAGCTCCAGAAGAAAAGACATTAGCCAGACTAACTTCCTCTCTCCCCCCAGGACGAGTATATAGTCGGCATAGCTTAGTGTTTTCTCTTGATAATTATCTTCCCTCCTGCTCCTGCTTCTGCTCCTGCTTCTGCTCCTGCTGGTGCTCCTGCTGGTGGTGGTGGTGGCGGCAGAGGACCACGCCGTGGGGCTGTCCACCTTCACCATCATGGCTGGTCTGGGAGGAGGCTTCGGGTACGCCATGGGCGGCATCAACTGGGACTCCACTCTCATTGGTGAGCACCGCCACGCGGACCTTCCTGTCTTCTCACATCATTATATTTGTAACTAGACATCAAACTGAATATTTGTCATGTAAACTGTATATGTGTTTGTGTGTTTTTATGTCAGCTTAATGTATTACTCTGTGTCCACCCCACATACACATCCATACGTGTGTTTACTGGGGCGACCCGTACACATCCACGCTCTCACCCATGTATACACCCACACTCTGCACTCAAACCGCCCGCACGCCCACCTCAACACCCCCGCCCACGGCAGGAGTGATGCTGGGAGGGCATGTGAAGGCGGTGTTCACTCTGGTGACCTTCATCTTCATCGCCTGCGTCGTCAGCACCCTCTACTCCTTCAGGGAGATCCCCCTCGACGTCCTCCGCAACTCCACCAAGGCCCAACTCCAGAAGGTGAGCCCTCCATCTCTCTCTCTCTCTCTCTCCTGTCTTCTCTCTCTCTCTCTCTCTCTCTCTCTCTCTCTCTCTCTCTCTCTCTCTCTCTCTCTCTCTCTCTCTCTCTCTCTCTCTCTCTCTCCTGACTTCTATCCCTTTGTGTGCTCCTGTGGTAATATAGCACACAAGAAGCACTGTCTGGTTTGGTATTAACCCTGTGTGTGTGTGTGTGTGTCTGTGTGCTTTTACAAGCGTGTTTTACGGTTTAATCACGTGGGCTGCGGACTCCCAGCAAACACACTTCCCATGAGACTGTTAATATGTTGTTTGTGTACACACAAGACGCTGACTTTGGCTTCTGGTTATTCTTGTTTTTTTTAAATTTGATAGTTTTTCGTAAATTGGCGGATCATATTTTCTGAGGTAAATATGCTATTAAAAAGCAAATCTTGTTTTGAGAGGTAATAGTGTTGTTTCTAGGAAGTAAATCATGTTTTTTTTTGGTCAATGTTTTGAGAGAAAGTTTTAGAGGATGTGATCTACGCGCTAAGTCTCCTTTGAGGTGAAATGTTGGTTGGGCTGAATCCTGTTTTGTACGAATGTGTGTATGAGCACATCACGATGTATACACATCAAGGTATTGCTTCACTAGGATATACAATGGTGACAAGTAAATAATATATTGTTATACTGAGAGTTAAACGTTTTATTGATAGGTAACGCTGTATGTGAAGCTGTGTCCTGTATGTCACGTTATCTTCTGTATGTGAAGCTGTCTTATGTATATCATGTTGTATCCTGATCGTGAAGTTGTTTGATATAGTAAAATAAAGTTATGATTATGGCATTAAAAATAATAATAATTATTTTATTATTATTATTGTTGTTATTAGTGATTAATGCCTGGAGCGATAAGAAGCCAACAACCTCCTTGATACGAATTTACAGGTAAAGGTGTCGTTAATTATCTTGTCCCTGTTAATGAGCTCCTGATTTAACGAGGTAACGCAATGTTGCACCTCTCTCAACTGCCTTATATTCCGGCTCAAACTGTTGTCATGCTGACAATTCGGGGTCATTACCACTCACTACTGAGTTGTTAATTAACGTAATGATGTGTTTACCATTAACATGTCCCTGATTTATAAGTGAACTCCCGCCACCAGGGCATGTCGACGGATCAGCCGGCTGGCCACGAGGACGAGGAAGCCAAGGCCGGATACGGCAGTATGAACACAACCGGCCTACCTCCACTCCGGCCTAACTCGCTCCCCCTGGCGGTGAGTATCCGGGCTGGACTGTGCCAGGGTACAGTCGACACTGTACGACACTGACACTGTAAGTGTCTAGGGGAAGTAACTAGGTGTAAGTGTCTTGGGATGGGCCTTTCTGTCTGGAGGAAGTATCTGGATAAGTGTCGGGAATTACGTTGGTAAGTGCCATGGAATGTGTCTACGTAAACGGTAAGTGTCGAGGAAATTACCAGAGAATTTGGTTTTGAAGTTTTAAATTGGAAGGAAGGGAAGGGGATTGCTTCAGTGTAAATATAACATCACAAAAATAGGCACACGAAGCTAGCACTGTAAAAAAAATAGGGGCCACAGAAATTGGGGACCCCAGAAAATGGGGCCCATAGAAAATGGGGACCACAGAAAGTGGGGACCCCAGAAAATGGGGACCCCATAAAGTGGACACGACAGAAAGTGGTGCAGAGAAGTAAATTAATGTGAGGAGGAAGGCGTCGTGGATCATGATGTGATCTATCATGAATCACAGATTCCCGGCGGAGCTGCTGGCTAAATCCTCTCGTTAATTATAATTTGCATCTCTGGTAAGGCCAGATGAGGTGCACTTTCCACGAGGACTCGCAAGTGTGTGTGTGTGTGTGTGTGTGTGTGTGTGTGTGTGTGTGTGTGTGTGTGTGTGTGTGCATTTGCTATTTATGCCTGCAGGATCGAGCTGTTAGCTCTTGGACCCCGCCTTTCTAAGCGTCGGTTGTCTAGTGTACTGATTCCCGACATATATTTCCTCTATCATACCTACTACATATATTTCTCTCTCCCACACACACGCGCGTGCGCCTGTAGCGTGTTTTTGCAGTATCATGAGATTCATGATACTGTATCATGATTCATGATTGACTCATCGCCTGCTCATGAGATTCAATTCCCCTATTTTTTTTCCTCATAAGTCACGCCTCTCAGCTCTGGGACTAGTCTTTTCTACCATCAATCTCTTGGAATTTCTCCAGCTACGTTATTTTGCTTTCTGGGGGTTAGGACGCGAGGCTGGCCCTCAGTACTGCAGGAGCGGTGTAACATTTTGGGTGTAGAGTTGTAAAGACATGGAGTTGACGCATCACTCATCACTCCTTCCAGTCTCATTATTGATTATTCTTTTCATATTTGTGTTATTTAGTTGTGATTAGAATTGGTTGCGAACTGTCGATAATGTCTCGTTTTCAGTAACACGATCTTGCTTTTCTGACCGTAATAGCAGAATGGCCACGACCCGGATGAGGGAATTGAAGCCCAGCGCTACCAGGGCTACGATGGCCAGGGCTACGAGGGCCAGGGCTACGAGGACCAGGGCTACGGTAAGAAGCTGGCCCAGGAGAAGCCACAGCAGGAGACCTCCTTCAGTCAGCAGGTGGGTGGAGAGGGTGGCCGCTACTCTCCCATACCCACCACCGCCTCCTCCATCATAAACGCTACCGTCTACACAGTGATGTAAACACCACCTGCTACATTACCTCCTACGCTTTACACTTCTGTTACATTACGCACACACCACTTTATACTTTACACACAAGGCTTGCTACATTACACACGAGACCTTCTACATTGGAACAAGATCTTCCGCAGACACAAGACCTTCTACATTGGAACAAGATCTTCCGCAGACACAAGACCTTCTACATTGGAACAAGATCTTCCGCAGACACAAGGCCTTCTACATTAGAACAAGATCTTCCGCAGACACGAGACCTTCTACATTGGAACAAGATCTTCCGCAGACACAAGACCTTCTACATTGGAACAAGATCTTCCGCAGACACAAGACCTTCTACATTGGAACAAGATCTTCCGCAGACACAAGACCTTCTACATTGGAACAAGATCTTCCGCAGACACGAGACCTTCTACATTGGAACAAGATCTTCCGCAGACACGAGACCTTCTACATTGGAACAAGATCTTCCGCAGACACGAGACCTTCTACATTGGAACAAGATCTTCCGCAGACACAAGACCTTCTACATTGGAACAAGATCTTCCGCAGACACAAGACCTTCTACATTGGAACAAGATCTTCCGCAGACACAAGACCTTCTACATTGGAACAAGATCTTCCGCAGACACAAGACCTTCTACATTGGAACAAGATCTTCCGCAGACACAAGACGTACAACAGACACAAGTCTTTATATACTGTGAACGGATATATATTTCCTGCTGATATACAATAATATTTTGCTGGTGTGTGGAAAGCATCCTTGTGTGCTAAGGAAATATTCACAGTACAGTATTGCTATGTTAATGTGAGCACATATCTGTATGTACGTTGTATGCTGTTTGGGGGCAAATATTATGTAAGTAGGTTAGGTTAGATTTAGTTAGGTTTTGTAACATAATTTTTTTAAGTGACGTCTCGTTGGGAGGTGCAGTTTTGACAAGTATAATTGTTTACTACGTAGGCATCTACTACTGCCAATGTTTCTAATTCATCTTTGTAGTTAATAAAGTGATGACTTGTTTGAGAGTGGCGATAGTTCTGTGAGAGTTACAAAGTAACCTAGAGAGTACACAAAGCCAGTTACATGGCGGGTGTACTAGTCACCTTGTTCTGTGTTCCTCAGAGTTCTTCATATTTGAAGGGTATCACGAAGTAGTGATGATGCTGGCGTGTCTTACAGAACCCGACGACGGTGGTGAAGGCGGGCGGCGAGGAGGAGGAGGAGGAAATATTGGCAGACATTGAAGAAGCAGCGGTGCCCGGAGCGACCCTTCGACAGTACCTTCTCTCCATCGTGTACATGCCTAGGGTGAGACTTGAAGGGTCTAGGATGGTCGTAAGGCTCCAGGGTGGGGGTTAGAGAGCGTCCAACTGGTTCAGGGTGTAGGGTTCAGCAGTCCCACAGTCAGTTCTGGGGGGGGTCTTAAGGTCCTAGTGCGAGGCCATGTTTCTTAATGTATTCTTGCTAGCTTAGTTTACTCGAATCGTTCCTGGTTAACTTTAGTGCTGGTTCTTGCTTGTTTCGGGCAGGTCCTGGATATGTGCCACTGGTTAAGGGTTGGTTCTTATGGGTGAGGGGGGGGGGAGGGGTTCTAGGTGTGGTGGCCTGGGCCCGGGTCCACCCCAGAACTAAGAGTAGGCTGCTACTGGTCCCAGACATGTCCCCAGATGGCTCTATGGCTCTTGTGCCAGCTCTTTCACTATAATATCTGGCTAACGTGGCTCCAAGGGCCAGTCTGAGTGGAAAAGTCAATTTGAACAGAATAAATACAGGACTGCTGATTATAAAGTAAATATTTAATTGAATATTATAAGTTAATAATCAAACCCGCACATGAAATATAATGTAAGTGACAGTCTGTGTCACCCTGACAGTCTGCATCACCCTGACAGTCTGCATCACCCTGACAGTCTGTGTCACCCTGACAGTCTGTGTCACCCTGACAGTCTGCATCACCCTGACAGTCTGTGTCACCCTGACAGTCTGTGTCACCCCTGACAGTCTGTGTCACCCTGACAGTCTGCATCACCCTGACAGTCTGTGTCACCCTGACAGTCTGTGTCACCCCTGACAGTCTGTGTCACCCTGACAGTCGCTGCGCGTGCTGTGCCTCACCAATCTCTTCTGCTGGATGTCTCTGGTGTGCTATTCTCTCTACTTCACCGACTTCGTGGGCGAGGCTGTGTTCGGCGGGGACCCGGGGGTGAGTCCCGCCGCTACACCTCTTTCATATTCCACAACAATGATCTGCATCACAGGAAGTTAATAGCCAAAATAAAAGCAAATCATGGATTAGAAGTATACAAAATATTATTTTTGACTGGCAAGTTTTCCATATTGTTATTTTAGTATTGAAATATATGTAGTGTTGATGGAAGAAGGGTTCCTACAGGCTCCAGATGGCACGGAAGAGAAGGAGCTGTATGAGGAAGGAGTCCGCTTCGGGTGCTGGGGGATGGCCCTCTACTCCCTCTCCTGTTCTGTTTATTCCTTCCTCATAGAAGGTCTCGTCAAGAGGTTCGGGTAAGTTACCGCCCTTACTGACGCACGGTAATAAGCAGGAAGTTAAAAGATACTAAACTTGTAATGTGGGATCGAACCCGCGTCCCTGGTCTCCTCAGGCACTCGCATTCATAGATACCACATTATTATACAATGAGGAAGATAGTTAAGCACAGTCAGTTCACAACCGTTTAGTCCCCTGGTTCGATTCCTGGACAAGGCGAGACATTTAAAGCTTTTGTTTTTGTGTTATGCCGGAGTGCTGTGTTCACCTAGCAGCAGATAGATACCTGTGAGTCAGTCAACTGTTGTGGCTGCTACCTTGAGAGTGCTTAGGCTTAGCAGAACGTCAGTAAGCCTGACAGTCTCCTGGTCCCCAACAGTGGAAAACCAGTTGTGTATTAATATGTATAGTGTTTGTGTTGGGTGAGAGGTGTAAGGTGGGTGTATGTGCAGGCTGTGACGGAGGTGTTTGTGTCGGGCAGGGCCAGACCGGTGTACGTGTGGGGCCAACTGGTGTACAGTGTGGGGATGGTGTGCATGGCCTCCCTCAGGCACCCGGCCGCCGTCATCCTCTTCTCCTGCTGCGCCGGCGTCATGTACTCTACGCTCTTCACCATGCCCTACCTCCTAGTCGCCCACTACCATGCCTCCCAGACGGTACGGTCCCCATTGTACTTTCTGCTTGACACACGGTACGTACCCACTGTACCTTCTACTTGAGCTCTACCGTGCCTCCCAGACGGTATGTACCCCAGTGTACCTTCTGCTTGACACACAGTACGTACCCACTGTACCTTCTGCTTGACACACAGTACGTACCCACTGTACCTTCTGCTTGAGCCCTACCATGCCTCCCAGACAGTACGTACCTCACTGTCGCTACCGCTGGGTGACGGTGGGTCTTACTGCACCTGGGTAACCCAGGCTGGGTTACCACCACACCCTGGGCCAGGTAGGTCATCCACCCTGGGGCAGGTAGGTGCTTCACACTACTCATGACTCTCCATTACAATATCTCGGGCTGGTGGTTCACATGTGTTCTTATTCCCTTGTGTGGGGGGGGAGGGGTCCTCAGTATTGTGTAGGTGTTTACTTGTACACCCGTCCATGTAAAGTGATGTACTTGTACACCCGTCCATGTAAAGTGATGTACTTGTACACCCGTCCATGTAAAGTGATATACTTGTACACCCGTCCTTGTAAAGTGATGTACTTGTACACCCGTCCATGTAAAGTGATGTACTTGTACACCCGTCCATGTAAAGTGATGTACTTGTACACCCGTCCATGTAAAGTGATGTACTTGTACACCCGTCCATGTAAAGTGATGTACTTGTACACCCGTCCATGTAAAGTGATGTACTTGTACACCCGTCCATGTAAAGTGATGTACTTGTACACCCGTCCATGTAAAGTGATGTACTTGTACACCCGTCCATGTAAAGTGATGTACTTGTACACCCGTCCATGTAAAGTGATGTACTTGTACACCCGTCCATGTAAAGTGATGTACTTGTACACCCGTCCATGTAAAGTGATGTACTTGTACACCCGTCCATGTAAAGTGATGTACTTGTACACCCGTCCATGTAAAGTGATGTACTTGTACACCCGTCCATGTAAAGTGATGTACTTGTACACCCGTCCATGTAAAGTGATGTACTTGTACACCCGTCCTTGTAAAGTGATGTACTTGTACACCCGTCCATGTAAAGTGATGTACTTGTACACCCGTCCATGTAAAGTGATGTACTTGTACACCCGTCCATGTAAAGTGATGTACTTGCAGAGAATATTTTTGTATTTAGTGTTCATTTCTAAACTATTGGATGAGAGGAAGCACTCGCAGCTTAAGTATTCTTCCGTGTCGTTCAAGAGGTTTACATTAAAGACAATAATCCCGATATATTTATTGGACAGTTCGTTGTAATTGTACATTCGTCCATCAGTATTTGTATAACTATGACCAGTTTATATATCTAGTTTTATAGAAAGTAGAATATTTAATGTTTTAAATAAGATGTTTGTTTTAGAATGAGACGGATATCTTCAGGTTAACACTTTTTTGTAGTCATAATGATGTAGATTTTGTAGATTTTGCTACCATGTTTAGAATAAACAAATCCACAAGGGCCGTGACGAGGATTCGAACCTGCGTCCGGGAGCATCCCAGACACTGCCTTAATCGACTGAACTACGACAGGGTAAAAAGGGTTGAAACCCTTGTGGATTTGTTCATTTTATGCATCACGTTAGTGTGATTTCTGTGTGTAATGTTTAGAATAATATAACATTATAGCCTTTTGGGCTATTGTAAGACTTTGCTTTCAAGAAGTTTGATATAGTTGTGTGTAGAGTGGCGACCGCTGGGGACCCATGCTCATCATCACATGATGATACATGATGATCTCAGACGAGTCTACACCACAACTCATCTTACCTTGAAGTATGACTCTCCTACTCTGCTCTACTATGACCACTTCCTTGGTCAAGTTGGGACGCGACTACCTCGCTTATTCATCCCGACCTCAGACCAAGTCCAGTCCATCCAGCAGTCGACCCCAAAGACGCATTCATATATTGTAACATTCTGTTCATTTAAAACGTGAATTTTCTCAAATATAAATTAATATTATTATATATTAGCATATTGTGCATATTTAGATATAGGTTAGGTTAGGTGTTTAGGTTCTGTTGGCGATTATATGTATTTGTAGTATGTGGGTGAAGCATTTACAGCGTTGTGGTTTGAACAAAATTCGTCAGTGATTATCATTCTTGCGAGCATAGTCTCCGCTACCAATATATCTGTATTTATTTCTTGTATTTTCTCCTTTAATATGCTTTGAGATGGGTAAGACTTTGAGGCTTCTCTTCTTGACCTTATCTGCTGTGTTAGAGAAGATCTTGATAGGAAGTGGAAGGGTATTGTGTGTGGGAGGGGGGGGGAGTAGCTTTGAAAATGAACGCATTGTTTCTTAATGAACGTTCACACCTACAAAAGCTATATTAAATAATCACTTCAACTTTCCTCAACACCAACAGTTCCAGGCTGAGACTGTCGAAGGGTCAGCAGTACTGGCAAGCAACGGGCCGGAGCAACAGGTGCGCGGCTTGGGGACCGACGTGGCAATCGTGTCATCAATGGTGTTCCTGGCGCAGTTTATCCTGTCGTCGTGCATGGGTTCTATCATCTCTGCTGTGGGTTCTACCACCGCCGTCGTCTGCGCTGCCAGCGTCCTCGCCGCCTGTGGTGCAGTTACCGCTACACAAGTCGTATACCTCGATCTCTAATACGTTTTCTTTGGTTCAAGCGTCGGCACCATAGAAAATATATTTCAGCGTATACTATTGTATTGTCTGTTTGGCGGATGTAGGCATGAGTGATAATTAGCAACAGTAGGAACGCTTTCTGTACTAAAGGTTAAATTATATATAAAATCTATATACCTCATTAGGTATTCACATTAATGATACAACAATATGAAACTTGAATGCACAATTATGTGCAGAAATAAATAGATGTATGTATTTATTTTTCGACAGCTAAGTTTGTATAAGTGTGCTAGCCTATAGAGATGTGAATGAAATTAGCTTATCTCACAATTTTTCATTCATGATCTTGTGCTTTAAGATTCATGATATTAAGTAAATATAGGTTTTAAATAAGACGAAGTAGTGAGGCCAATGATGTGTCCCGGATGGACTGGTGTTTTCCTGTCCTTTTTTGGGGCACAGATCCTGAGAGCTGTGATTTATTTTAATTTCTTTACCTGAGGGTCACTCTCGCTAGTTGCCTTGACGAGGACAGGAAACCGGCGGCTTGTCAAAGGTCCCCTCATTTGTTCTGATGATTTTATCTTTTGTCTCTTAAGCAGCAGTGTTTTGGTATTCACGGCTTGAGCGGGTAGGGGGTTCCATGAGTTTATAACCCTATGGGTGAAGAACATCTGTTTTCTGTCTTTGTGGCTTGTTGAGCTTGACTCCGTTGCTCCTTTTTATTATTACACTTATTTTATTTTATTATAATTATTAATTTTATTTTATTAATTAATTTTATTTATTAATTAATAATTATTTTATTATTAATATTTATAATATTATTATTATTATATTATTATTGAAGAAGTTGTCTAGATCAACATCCTCCAAGTTGTTCAATATTTCAAAAGTTTGATGATATCAGCCCTGTCATGTTTGGTTTACGATGCTGTTAACCCTGTGGCCCTCAATGGTTCCTGGTATGAGAGTCTACGTAGTTCAGGACTTATTTTTGTCGGCCGGTGTTAAACGTTCATCAAAGCATTGGCACATCTCTTGGGCTCAAATAATTAGCTGCGAAATAGCAGCTAAAATCTGTCTCTCAGCTTTTTATTCTCAGTTTATTCGATTATCATACGTTTACGTAATTTAGTAATAATGCTGCATTTAGTTTTATTATTTGCTAGAAGCCGATTGTAAGAAGTGAGTAAATGTATTTGTATGTAATATAAATGGAAATTACCTAAGAGCATTGTATACATGTGAAAAGGCATTTGTTTATTCCTATTTTCATGGGTTTTACCCCTGCACCTTGATCTCCCTGAGCCAGTCGACGTGCTCTGTGCCTCCTAAGTCGTGTCCAGGCACGAAAGCGTTCGTACAGAATTGTAATTAGTTTCTTGTTATTTTTGTATCTGGTCACTTGTTTAATTTTTTATTTTATTTTATTTGTAAATGATGTGCTCTTAAATATACTAGAAATGTGATGACATAATTAAGTAATTTAGTGTGAGCATAACTGTGTGTACGTGTGGATAAGTTCTCTAAGTGTGGGCAACTTCTCTATGTGTGCGACAACTTCTCTATGTGTGGGCAACTTCTCTATGTGTGGACAACTTCTCTATGTGTGCGGCAACTTCTCTATGTGTGGACAACTTCTCTATGTGTGCGGCAACTTCTCTATGTGTGGGCAACTTCTCTATGTGTGGACAACTTCTCTATGTGTGGACAACTTCTCTATGTGTGGACAACTTCTCTATGTGTGGATAACTTCTCTATGTGTGGACAACTTCTCTATGTGTGGATAACTTCTCTATGTGTGGACAACTTCTCTATGTGTGGATAACTTCTCTATGTGTGGACAACTTCTCTATGTGTGGACAACTTCTCTATGTGTGGACAACTTCTCTATGTGTGGACAACTTCTCTATGTGTGGACAACTTCTCTAAGTGTTTACAACTTCTCTATGTGTGGACAACTTCTTTATGTGTAGACAACTTCTCTATGTGTGGACAACTTCTCTATGTGTGGACAACTTCTCTATGTATGGACAACGTCTCTATGTGTGGACAACTTCTCTAAGTGTGGACAACTTCTCTAAGTGTGGACAACTTCTCTAAGTGTGGACAACTTCTCTAAGTGTGGACAACTTCTCTAAGTGTGGTGCTCGACATCGTAGTCAAAACAATATGGAAGGTAAATGAGTGTTAATATCAATGTAATAACGAATGAATATGGATTATGTTGCTTATCTCTGGCTAAGATTTGGTTACGTTTATCAGTATTTTATTAGCTAACTGTGCAAGGTAGTGAGGATGTTTAGAGGCATCAACGTGCGCAGCAATAAAGGCGCACATGCCGGGTTGATGTGCGCGCAGCCTGCTAAACCCACCAGTATTTCATTGATGCAAATATCAAAGTCTACTACATTTGAAGGGTGAAATGTATTGCTTTAGCGCTTTCAACCCTCTTGGAACCTGGGTCAAAAGCAGAATTAATACGGTCGAAGGTGCTAAAGCTATACATTTCACCTTTCAGATGTGGTAGATTTTCAATATATATATATATATATATATATATATATATATATATATATATATATAATGTTATTATTTAAAGTACTTTTTAATTAGGTACAACCAGCCGTAAACAAAGGGAATATAATAACGTCATTCAAAAGAAAAAGAGGACTACAAATATATATATTTTGTGTGGGAATATTAACACTAAAACCTAAGTACTACACGAGCTTCGTACAGGAATATGTGTACATTGTACCGAGGTGTAATATATTATACATTATGGTGAGAACATCCTTCAGTGTTGCTTAGGGTTCAGTTCTCTTGTGTAGTCCACTTACTAGAATGTGAAGAATGTTGTAGATTGACGAACGAATGTTTCCTGTAGCTCATGTCGGGAATAAAGTTGTTATTTGTTGTGGGGTTGTAATTTGTAGCCTCTGAGGAAGTGTAGGCTAATGCTGATGTTTTGCCGGAAGTAAAATCACGGGGAGATGGCACCAGAGTTTAGAATGTAGTAATGCAGTGACTTTCAGAACTGATCCCTTTGTAAGTGATAAGTAGTGTAAATATAATATTATATTTCTTTATTTACCAAGGGAAGGATCCTTATTCTTGAAGCATTCTCATGTTAAGCCTTGGCGGCATGATTATAGACAATCTTGTAGAAATAAACCATGTAACCTTAATTGTTTAAAAGTGTATATTCATTTTGTGGTAAAATACTAGGATTAAAAGAGGTTTAATTATTCAGGTTAATATTGAAGCCTATCGCGGTAGCTCTGATTCTTGGTATTATTTATATTTAAAATTAATAGTCAAAGTCAATCGCTTGTTTGACTTATGGAAAATGACAAAGTGATAAATACATTAGAATTAGGTGTCAGTCGTGCCTACAAAATATAATTATTTTCGCTATTAAAAGTATTTATTAAAAAATAGCTTAGTCTGTATGTGTTGAAGAATGGGTTAAGTACGACTTTGTAAGTTTTATACAACTTGAGTGAATTCTTGTGAATATACGAAGTTGTCGGTCGTGCCTCTGGCCGTATATTTCAGCGTTTCCTGTTTCTTCAGAGGATATAACTTGTGAAAGATTTGAATTAACAGCAGATTTTATACATTAGGTTTAAGCTTTAAGCCTGGGATTGAAGTGTGTTGGGAAGCTTCGGATCCCTCACAGTTCTCTAACTCCTTCACTATAATCTCGCACTACATAATCCATCACCCGGGCTACGATATAGAACGATCGTTGTGAATTTCTAGTTATATATGTCAAGCCGACTGCAATGTTCCAGTATTCGCATTAAAAGGTCTATTTTTTTAATTATTGATGTTAAAGGCGACGACAAAACTAGAAACACTTAAAAATTTAAGCTTACTTCAGTTGTATATGGAAACCAAGCATTCAGGTATGTATGAATTTAATAAATAGATGTCACGCGTATTATATTCTTGCCCGCGAAAATGATTTCGAAATATGAAACTTCTGATTGAACGAGACATTCAATTGTTCGCATTGGTTTCTTTGACAATGATTTAGGTTTAAGCATTCACTGTTATTTTCCATTAATATGTGTTAGTTGGGGCAGAAATTGTATTTACTCTATAACAAGAGTAATATTTTATTGTGCACAAAATTAAGTTTGTAAAAAAATGATTAGTTATCCGAAGCCTTAAATAATGAGGAAGAGCAACAGTATTGAGACACCAAAAAGCTCCCTGAATTTGAGTCAGAGCTGCCAACCCTCTTAAAAAAAATCTATGATTAACAACGTAATACATTTACTTGATAAGAATTAAGTAACTGCTCTACAAGTTTCAGGGAATGCATCTGTATAAAAATAATAACAAAAATTTGCTTAAAAGTAGTAAATTTACGCCACAAGTGAAGTGTAATGTTACAAGGATAAGTTTCGTAGGTTGGTAGGTCGTGCTAGTGTGCCATTGGTGGAGCGGCGGCAGCGGCGGCGCCATGATTCAGAAGGTGATACATTTTGTGTAAACATTCGGTGTTCCCGCGGTAATGTCCACTTACATATCCTACTTAATACCTCTACAGCAGCTCCCGTCACGGCCCCGTCGGCACCAACACCACAACTCACACAGCTGTGGTAAGACAGATGATAACTGTGTTTCACGTATCATTAGGTCGTACCGAGAGAATATCCTTTGGCTTAATATTTATATCTCGCCTCAGGTGCCAGGTCCCCGGGTTCAGTTCCCGGGAAAGGATTAGAGAAGTAGGCTGCCTGAAGTCTCTCTTTCTAAAGTTAGTACCGAGCCTATTGTGGGTGTTACTTAACTCTGCTCTCTAGTGGTTGGTGACTGCGCTAATGGCCGCCTTCTGTGGCTACAAGAATAAAACAACTCTGGGAATTTTAATCTATATTACAATTTGTTTGACGATCGTTGCATACATTTCATTGATGACATTAGACACATTTAGGTAATGGAAAAATGTTATTTATATATATATATATATATATATATATATATATATTATATATAATATATATATATATATATATATATATATATATATATATATATATATATATATATATATATATATATTATATATATATATGTCGTACCTAGTAGCCAGAACGCACTGCTCAGCCTACTATGCAAGGCCCGATTTGCCTAATAAGCCAAGTTTTCCTAAATTAATATATTTTCTCTAATTTTTTTCTTATGAAATGATAAAGCTACCCATTTCATAATGTATGAGGTCAATTATTTTTTATTGGAGTTAAAATTAACGTAGATATATGACCGAACCTAAGCAACCCTACCTAACCTAACCTATCTTTATAGGTTAGGTTAGGTAGCCGAAAAAGTTAGGTTAGGTTAGGTAGACGAAAATACATTAATTCATGAAAACTTGGATTATTAGGCAAATCAGGCCTTGCATAGTAGGCCAAGAATTGCGTTCTGGCTATTAGGTACGACATATATATATATATATATATATATATATATATATATATATATATATATATATACAGTGTCAGACCACGAAGGAAGAATTGAAACAGGAATTTCCTTAAGAACTTTCGTATTTAATAATACATCTTCACCCTTCTGAAGATGTATTATCAAATACGAAAGTACTTAAGGAAATTTCTGTTTCAATTCTTCCTTCGTGGTCTGATACTGTTTACATATATATATATATATATATATATATATATATATATATATATTATATAATATATATATATATATTTATATTGTATATTTATATTTATTTGTATATGTAATATAATTTAAATACAATGAGGACACGACCAAATGAACCAGATGTAAAAATCACAAATTCAGAGACGGATACTCTCGCAAAACTTATTGCTGCAAAACAAATAATATTAACAGTTTGGATCCCTTTGATAAGCATATAATCAACCTCATTGATTATATGAATCATTGATTAAATGATTCATTTATTAAATGAATCATAAAACTCGTCGTTTGAATCTATTTATTTGTAAAGACTGAAACTTTTCTTGAAAATTCACTTCACATTAAAGTGTTGGAACAGCATCGCCTTGCCTCGTGCATCGAACACGCACTAACATTTCTTATAGCCAGTGATAACCTAAGGTTTTTGTAGTTGTAATCCTATCAAACATAATGTCTATCCATGGTTGGAGGCTAGACACTGAGGGCTAGCCTCGCCCAACTTTGCAGGGTGAATGGTCTGGGATACGGGACGGACATGGGCAAGTCGAAGTCCTATTGGTCTTATTAAAACAGAGTCGGGCCTAGTAATGAATAATGACCCCTACCCACCGAATTGGTGAAAGGTGGCCGGCTGAGTCCCTAGATTTCTTGACTTGAAAACTATGAACGTGCATTTATTCCGCATAGTGTCCGTGCTTTTGTTTGGTGTAATGAGATGCGTGGCGTCTTTGGCTTTTAACCTTCATATATGTTTATTGGATATTTTTATGCATCTAGAATATGTATTGCTGGCGACATTTAATAGATTATGAATATTTATCATTGTCAAACCTGACAAAATATCTCAACGGTGATACTCGTGGAAGTTATAACCGCTTGCTATTGTGTATTTTGTGTGTTGCTATAATGTCACGAAAATGGTGTGTGGGGGGGGGGGAAGGGGTAGAATAGGTTAACGGAAAGATGCCAGTACTTGAGGGGTAGGCCTCGCGCACAAGTGACAAGGGAGGCCAGGCAAAGGGATGTGATATACTATGTCTTCTATGGGTATATGGGCTTTCAGTTGACCTGGTGTTATGACTGAAACCATGGCACTGTCAAAATTACTCCCGGTCGTGACTTTACTATTCTTCATTGGCTCTGATAAACTTAGCTAGGCTACATTGGTTCTTGTAAACTTTGCAAAGTTTAACTGACACTGATACCACAGCTGGCCCTCACATTGGTAAACTTACCGAGGCTTCGGCGACTATGGGAACCTTAGCAACGCTACAATTGTTCTGGGTCTGGTAAGCTTAGCGATCCCCCAGACACCGGTAAACTTATCTAGACTTCAGTGACTGCTTAATGACAGAATCAGGTAAGGTAAGGTAATTATAAGGAAAAAGCACCAAAACCAGTTCGATTGTATCTGGATACTGACTTATTAACCAAACCCGTGCTAGTGTAGAGGTTAGCGTGCTTGATCACCTCTGGTTTTCAATAGCTCTTGTGCTATGTTGATGATATGCTCCTCTTAGACTCTTCCTCGCGTCTACTTCCCACAAGTACTGGATATTGTCGAGAAATATACCTAGTAGCCAGAACGCACTTCTCGGCCTACTATGCAAGGCCCGATTACAACATATATATCATATATATATATATATATATATCGGATTATCTTAAATATTTCGAACATTTTATCTGATATTATTTCCATTTAAGTAACCATGTATTATATTCGAGTCAAAATATGCATATTAACGTGAGTAAAACTAGACCTACATAAACTTGAAATTGATTAAATAAATATTATAAACTCCGTTCATTCAAATCTGAAAGTTTTTTGGCAAATATTTCTGAAAATAGAACACAGCGCTTTGTATATTAGGCATTACGGACCTTGTCGGCTAGGCTTAGTAATGCTCTTCTGGCCCCTTTCGTACGAATTTGTATTGCTATGATGTGTGTAGACTTCCCCTGAAAGGTTTTAAATTTTCATTCCTTGGACATGGTGAAGTTTCTTATTTATCACTAGTACACATACACACAGGCGTCTCGTCTTGCAAGAATGCGATGGTTAGTAATTCAGAAGTTTTTGGGTTTGGCATGTGTGAGGAGCGTCTCTGAGTGTGCATTATCAGTATGACTTGAGAGTCAGCGTTACGAACTTGGCATCCAACTCCTTGGATGGGAGGCTACCGTGTGTGCTGTACCGTCAGGATAATTATCGTATTTGAATGCGATGCGGTGTGTCGCCTCCCCGGCAACAGGGACTCGCCTGCCCCGGCAACAGGGGACTCGCCTGCCCCGGTAACAGGGACTCACCTGCCCCGGCAACAGGGGACTCGCCTGCCCCGGTAACAGGGACTCACCTGCCCCGGCAACAGGGGACTCGCCTGCCCCGGCAACAGGGGACTCGCCTGCCCCGGTAACAGGGGACTCGCCTGCCCCGGCAACAGGGACTCACCTGCCCCGGCACCATGCACTTTACTTTCAATGAAATCCTCGTCAGTCAGTCTTAATTTCACGTAAGTCATGTACAGTACAAAATTTAATTAAAATTATTTTAAAATAATAAATTCTACCACTCAGACGCAATTGTAATACAGTATAAAAAAAACAATATTTTTGAATTGTGATACTTGTTTCCGCATTTTTAATAATTGGTTTTAAATTCGGACGGTCACTTTTGTAATGTGGAGCGGTCCAGTCAAAACTTCATTCCATGCGCGCTTGCCAACTTTAAACAAAGGAAATTGTTATATAATGTAATATAGACACAGCTTCGTTTTTCAGTCTTAGGTATTTTAATGAGTAAAGCATCAAATGTTTCGGTATATTACTCTTCCTACGAAATAACATATTACTAGCCATTAAAGCCTTATTCTTCTTAGGCTTTATTATTATTTATGTTAATATCTGTGCTTATGACTTAGAAGGAAAACACACACACACACACACACACACACACACACACACACACACACACACACACACACACACCACACACCACACACCACACACACACACACACACACACACACACACCACACACCACACACACACACCACACACACACACACACACACACACACACACACACACACACACACACACACACACACACACACACACACACACACACACACACACACACACACACACACACACACACACACACACACACACACACACACACACACACACACACACACACACACACACACACACACACCCACACTCACACACCACACACACACACACCACACACACACACACACACACACACACACACACACACACACACACACACACACACACACACACACACACACACACACACACACACACACACACACACACACACACACACACACACACACACACACACACACACACACACACACACACACACACACACACACACACACACACACACACACACACACACACACACACACACACACACACCACACACACACACACACACACACACACACACACACACACACACACACACACACACACACACACACACACACACACAAAATCAGGAACATCGAGTACAAAATGCCATAAATTCAAATTGAAAAAAAAAACTAAGCTGTCGGTAGACATACCGAAATTTTCTTTTTGCATGCAGATAGACAGATGTAATAAATGCAATACGGGTTAATGCACGCCAATACTATGTGAAACATGAGAGCCTCACATGACTAAGGTTACAGGGAAGACGGGACACCACGAGCATGGCTCTCTTCCTGCCTCTACACTTAGCTGGCCAACACTCAGGTAATTACACAAGTAACAGTTTCTGTACGTTACTGTTATGTTAGGCTACAGGTCTGGAAAATATAAATATTCATGTTTGTGGTGAACTTTTTGTTTGTCGAGACATCCGTACGGCTTATTGGCCTAACACTAGGCTAGTCTATGCCTTCATTCGTGTCTTTTACACTGAGGAAACATGACAGAGATAGTTAAGCATAGTTCTCCATGCTAGATCATCATATACGCGTTTTTATATAATATTTTATTAACTTAGCTTATTTTTTATAATACACCTAATTTTGTCAGGTTTTACTTGGATAAAAAGTGGTTGTACATGACCTTTAAGGTTCGATTTTTGACCATAAGCTGAACATGGATTGTTTGATAAGACAGACGTCATGTTTATTGTATCCGAAGAGAAACATTCAGGGGTAACTGCATGAAAGCAACATGGCAATAAAAATGGACTTATAAGCTGGGATAAAAGTTAGTACAGATTTGGTTTTTATACAAACCAAGTTTAGACTTACATTTCCTGCTGTAAGTCATTGTAGCAACACCATAACTTAGTTGTGATGACAACACTTCATAATTATATAAAATGATGACACGATACACTTTTGAAAGTAGTGTTGGAAACGCACTTCAAAACGGTAATTGCATTACTTTCCCAAGATTAACCTTGTACGGCCAACACACACACTCAAATACATATTTGTAATACAGTACAACGTTCTGCAATATTATGCTCGAGCCACTTGATAAAGGCATCAAGTATACAAGATGTTCACTGGCTTTCCTCGTCATCTTGGCAAATCATTGTAATATTTTGCGTCAGGAATTATCATCAGATGAATAACAGTTGTAAACATCCGGAACACTTGTCAAACCTAGTACTGTCCTGCTCAATGTAAGACACACGTAAGTGTTTCTAGGGGGCAAAAAAAATATAAAAACTGTACAGGACATATACAGTAATATATATGTATGTTTATATATATATATATAATAAATTCAGCTTAAAACCTAAAACAGGACGTATATACATGAGGTTAGGCGTAATTATATAAAGTTGTGTGCAGGTTATCAAGATGATCTCGAGGAAGAGCTTAGTGGTGTATGAAACAAGACAAGGGCAGCAGGAGGAACTAAGAACTATACAGTATATGATCGTCTTGTAGCGGACTGTTAGTGTTCATCTTACAAAATAACAGGGGAGACTTGATTAAGATAACAATCAATAAGACTTCTGTACAAAATTCGATCTTCCAAAGATCTTACACCAAGTCTACGAATATTCTTTGTTCTAAAATGTAATTTTTTTTTAAACCACTATACTACAGGCCTAAGAATAAAGGGAGGGGGGGGGGTTTATTTACAGTGTTTGGGATGGGATATTTAAGCTCCTTAGATTGCCACAGTGACTCCGCACTTCCATAGGTATTACCACCTTAAGAAAACAGTCTGGAGATGATCTCTCAACATCACTATAAGCTCATATTCACTATGTTTTGTCGAGGGAGACATTTCACATCAGGTCCGGCTCACTACGAAGCGACAATGGCACCTTTTTGTAATGCTGGAAAAATCTCGATAAATCTAATAATTTATGGCTTAAAATTGTACATGTATTTTTTTTTGTTTTAATCTATCAAATATTCCCATAAATACAAGAACTTAGACTATGTTCAGGTAAGTGTGACATTGCAAATGCATTTCCGCCAGCAAGCGCTTCAACCTCCCAACGTGAGACCTGGCGAACGGCACCGTCATTAGTCACACAAGTCGGGTGGAGGGAAGAGCAGCAGCCCGAGGAACGGAAGGGCTTCGAGAGTGGCGGCGACGCTCGCTAGTTGCACGTGTGGACCGTCACGTCGCGTATACAGGTTCTGCACTTGACGTAGCAACACCAGTGGAACTTGCAAGAGCAGCGTTCCTGTACACGCTCTTGGAAGCTGGTGAAGCCTCGGTTGCAACAAAGCAAGTCGCAGCCGTCCAACCCGCGCGACGTCTGAAACATAAAGACTAGTTAGGGGGGAAAATATACATACCGATTCTAAACCATCATCCAAGACTATAGTACTTGCTGCCAGTATTATAATATTTGGAGGATAGTTTGTCGATTCGTATAAACATTATGAAAATATATTACATGCTGGTTATCAGTATAAATTCCTATTATGATTTTTTATTTTTACTATATTACTAATAGCCTAAGTTACTCTATCCCTTTGAGGTGTATTTTTTTCTTGTCTCAATAAACTTACTTGAACTTGAACTGTTCAAGTTTATTGATCAATTACTGTTGATCTCTTTATGTAAATATTATCATTGTTTCTTTAATGAGAATAATGATAGTCCTGACCTTGTTACAGCGTCTGCCGTGGGTGCCCAGTGAGCCACTGTTTATGTCGTAGTCGCAGTACTCTGGTGACGACGACACATACACCAGGTCCACCTCGGTGGGCTTCTTAAAGTACTGTTTATTGGGCTCGAGCTCGGCCCGTCCGGACACCTCCTTCACGCGCACCTCCGTCGCCCCGTCGAACTTCTCCTTTAGGATTTCACCGATCTGAGTCATGGCCGAAAGATCAGGTGAGTGGTAATGTAGTTTTTGTGTAAATTAACGCCTTTTTAAGTGTACAAACATTTATGAATAAGGTTTATTAATTTGAAGTTGAGGTAGAAAGTGTATAGGGGAATTTGTGACTAATGGACAGGTAATTCAGTGGCAGAGGATGTTGTTGAAGTGTGATAATGCTCAACAGATGGCGGTAAATGTCCTCTGCCTTCTTTTTGCTATGAATGGTGTCGCACTGCTGATAATTTTTCGAAAAATTGTCATTATTTAAGTAAACATGCGTTTAAATGTTTGCAATCCATAAAACAAGTGCCAGAGAATGAGCCAAGCCTCGCTCAACACTGCTTGCTTCACCAACACTTCTTAGTACACATGTTACAATCTTCTCCCAAGTGACAATTAAGTTATATTTTTATATTTTTGCTATATTGCAAATGTTAAATTATTAAAAAAAATGAATATGGAGATTTCAGGCCTATGCTCATGTAGTGGATCCATGAGGTCATTCAGAAGTAAACAGTATAAAGGATCCGATAAACTTACCGGAATCTACGAATTGGATTTTTTTGTTTTATAAATAAATTCTATACATTGAATAGTCATTGGTTGCAACATAATGAGAGCAACCCTAGCGAAGTGCTTCTCAGTTAGTAATTCTCCATAAACTCTTACGGGCAAAATAATTATTTAACTGTCTTCTCAAGCAAATTATCTTCTGATTTTCCAACTGTCTTAAGTCATTACTCCCCCGGGCAAAGCTGGGTAAAGAACGTTGATTCAGTGTTGTTCTCCGTTGATCCTACGGTTCCCTAGCAGCGCTTGCCGGGATATAACTGTCAGTGCTAATGGACACAATCTGTAAGTTACATATCTCTCAAACCATTGGAAGTTTATTCAAGAACGGAACGGAACTATCAGGGGGCAAAGTACCAAGCCATTAAGACTGTATAGCACTGGGAAGGGGTCAGGATTTGAGATGGGACGGGGGAAGGAATGGTGGTGCCCAACCACTTGGACGGTCAGGGATTGAACGCCGACTTGCATGAAGCGAGACCGTCGCTCTACCGTCCAGCCCAAGTGGTTGGGGGTGTTTATTCAAAGAAGAAATAGTTAAGTCTATGGTAATGGAGTACCTCTCTGAAGGTTGGCATGGCCTTCCAGCAAGTCTTCAGTTCGCAGGAGCCGGACACGCCGTGACACTTGCACTCAACCCGCATGTTCATCTCGATCAGCTGCAAAATACAGAAAGTGTAAGAAAGTGAAGGGGCAGGTTGTAATCCACAAGGTCATCTCGATCACCTGGATATATATCAGGAAGAAAGTAGGAATGTGAAGGTGCGGCTCAACCCACCTCATTATCTCCATCAGCTCAAGAGACCTGCTTAAAATGCAGGAGTGGATCAATTAGTAAAATAATAAGAATTATTTATTATATTATTGGATAGATTAATAAATAATTCTATATAGGAAAACAAGAGCCAAACCACCGAGAATAATTGAAACAGATAAAATAATAATAATAAATAATAATAATAGTAATAATTTTATTTACAAGAAGGTACAATGGGTTTGCGAAATTACATAAGATTGGTATTTTTACATTCTTGCAAAGCCATTAACACGCATAGGTAATTATCTATGCCCGAAACGCTAAGTGTAGTTACAGGATGAGAGCTAGACTCGTGGTGTCCCGTCTTCCCAGTACTCTTTGTCATATAACACTTGAAATTACTGACGGTTTTGGCCTACACCACCTTCTCACCTAACTTGTTCCAGCCGTCTACCACTTTGTTTGCAACAGTGAACTTTCTAATGCTTTTTCGGCAGCTTTGTTCCTTAGTTTGAGTCTATGACTTATTCTTGCAGTTGCGGGTTTCAAGAATTCTCCATCAATTTTGTCGATTCCTGTAACTATTTTGTTCGTAGTGATCATATCTTCTTTTTTCTTCAATCTTCTGGCGTTGGCACATTTAACGCATCAAGCCTCTCCTCCTAGTTCTTGTCTTTCAGTTCTTGAAGCCACTTAATTGTAAGTCTTTGCATTTTTTTCCAGTTTGTTGATGTGCTTCATAAGATATGGGCACCACACACACATTGTATATTCCTGTTTCAGTCTCACAAAGGTCGTGAAAAATGTCTTTAACATTTCGTTATCCACGTACAGTATTTATATATTTTTATTTATTTATTTATTTATTTATATACAAAAAGGTACATTGGGTTAGAGAGAATACATAGCATAGTATTTACAATCTTGTAAAGCCACTAGTACGCGCAGCGTTTCGGGCAGGTCCTTAATCTAACAGATAATTTTAAGTAGGTAAATTCTAGCAGAATTAATAAAATGATAACAGATACATTGTAAAGTTTGACAGCGTAACATAGACTTGTCGCACAATGTTCTTTATTGGTTCTCAGGTGACAGTTTCCTGTCCACAACCAGCCCCTAGATCTCCTTTATTATGACAGTTCTTTTAGGCCTTTCACATAATTTGTAAGGTGTGCGTAGCAAATTTTCTCCTATTCCACATTGCATAACCTGAATTTACCACTAATACTAGTGGCCCTCGACGAGGACAGGAAGCCGGCGGCTTGTCAAAGGTACCCCCCATTTGCCCCGATCTTTTCCAGCTGTATTTTAAAACCCAGCAGAGTTTTGGTGTTTACGGCTTCGGCGGGTAGGCAGGCGGTTCCACGGGTTTACAACCCATAACGTGGCATTTATTCACATTAAATTTCATCTGCCATGTGTTGCCCCATACACTTTTGTCCAGGTATTTTTGAACGACATGACAATCGTTTTAGTTTATCTTTAATAATAATATAATAATATTTTATCAAATTGTTATTTTTATTTACTGTAGTTACTCCCTGAATATTTTTCATTTTCTTTGACGTAAACAAAGAAGAAAACAGCAATTTATTGAAGGTGGGCTGATGCAGGGTACAAGGCTACTTGTCACAGGTTGTAGAGTTCCTCCAGCTCCTTAGATGGTGGGCAGGAACCATGGATGCAGTGAGCATTTCTTCTCTGGATCGCCACACTAAGGCGCTGAAAGAGGAAACTGGCAGCTCTAGGGTCTCTAGTTGTTTCAATTAACTTGGGCCTAGCTCCTTCAAAAAACTAGGCTCACTTTTACCCCAGGCACCAAGTGTCTCTGAGGCAATGGGGACAAAATTGTAATGGTGATCAAGATATCTGTATTTACGTGACTTGGCAGCTTCCCGGTGATTGGCAGCTCCTCCTGCCTATGCAGCACTGAAGTCATCATAGGTGTTGGCCAAAGATGAAACGCAAGTGTAGTCCCACACCAACTGTCTACCATTCTTCCAAGGGTTCACCGTGATTCCGTCTGGGCGACCGACAGACTCATCAGAGTTGCGGGGCATTAGGTAACAGGTTCTCTCTGCTGGAAAACCGGGTTTGGTAAGGCTTCTCTTAATGTCATTACCCTCGCCATGTCTTGCATGCCATCCTCCTGTCCTTTGGCAGAGAAGGCCATGCCGTCCGTACCTGTCGGCCACTGCTTCGCCGCAAATACACCTGTATTCGGTGTGGATTGGAGCAGCGAGGCGGAGATCCATGGCAATTCGGAGGGCCTGCGGTGTGAGACGGGTGCCGGTTGCTGACATTGGGGTTGCTAATAGGAAGTCACCTGCATGGGGAGCTGCTACAACAAGTCGGGCAGTGTCATGTGTTGTCGCAGCTTCTAGGCATGTCGCAGCATCTTGGTCGGCAATGGGGCGATCCCAGCTGGATTGCTTATGGGCTTCAGAAGGTGGTGGTTGGGGTACTGGTCCTGCGAGAGAAACCCATTTGGTGTTGCAGACCGCAAAGTTGGGATTATGTACCCCTGCCTGTTGACCTAGGTACTCAGGTAGGATTTCCTTCACCAGGTTGTATGTTTATATATATATATATAATATGTATATATATATATGACTGTGTCAGACCATGGAGGAAGAATTGAAACAGGAATTTCCTTAAGTACTTTCGTATATTAATACATCTTCAGAAGGAATGATGCTTGTGGGCTTCAGAAGGTGGTGGTCATTCAGAAGGTCATTCCTTCTGAAGATGTATTAATATACGAAAGTACTTAAGGAAATTCGTGTTTCAACTCTTCCTCCGTGGTCTGACACTGTCACATTTTTTATCACGTTTATTTTCGTGATTTACACACGTGTGTGTGTATATATAATATAATTATTTTCTGGTTTAGGGCTTCTATCCCTCTAACTATTTTCTTAGCATCAGGGCTTAATTGAAATAGGAGTTCTCCAAAACTCATTTTCGTACTTTTAAGGTGAAGAAAAGAAGTGATTTACTATAGAGTGTATTACACTTATTTGTATAATTTGCACGACGTTTCGAACCTCCATGGTTCATTCTCAAGTGAACAGATCTTACAATACTAGTTGATTTTATACCCGCATTAGGTCAGGTGATAATACAATGAAGGTGAAAAACATGGGGGGATACATAAGGGATAAACATAGGGGCTGCAGAAGGCTTATTGGCCCATACGAGGCATCTCCTATCTAAACACAAAGATTAATCCAGTGTAATTGGCCTGTTATGTTGGACATTGTCTTCTGTGTTGGCATCGATATGTTCTTGTCTTGTCCTTACTCTCATGGTGGGTAGAGTAAATAGTTCCGTGATTTGGGTGTTCATGGTAGGTCGCTCTATTCTTATTCCATAAGAATAGAGCGACCACCGAGGACTGAGTCTAAGTTGAATAGAGAGGGGGGGGGGTCTGTAGTTGACAGAGACTCCCGCCCTGCCGGCCGACAGCCTCCCTGCTAGGGCCGTCTCCTCTGCTCTGCTCGTCTGCTGTTCTCTTCTGTCAATGCTCAATGCTCAATGCTCTCCGAGTTTATATTGGGGAACCTAGTAGCTAACTCCGCCCACAAGTAGATAGCCTCCGGCACTACCAAGCCACTCCTTAAACGTCGGCATGTTTGAAGGCTACCAGACTACAATTATCAGCTTAGCGGAAGCAAGGTGAAATTCTCATGATCTGACCTCAGGTCACTTGAGGTCATTAACGCTTTGAGGTGTGAGATCTCAGGCAGACAACTGGCGCCTCTCAGATCCTTGTCTGTGACTCATGTACTCTATGTATGTATTAAACTAAACCAAACACTTTTACAGTGTTACAATATATATATATATATATAATATATATATATATATATATATATATATATATATATATATATATATATATATATATATATATATATGCAACAATGATCACAAAAACACTGATCCAAGTATGCAGAATAACCACATATGAAAAATAGAAAATAGCATTTTCTATTTTTCATATGTGGTTATTCTGCATATATATATATATATATATATATATATATATATATATATATATATATATATATATATATATAAACAGCCAGGATGTACTGTATATATAATCTGTGCTTGCAGTAATGGCTTTTCATGTAATTTAAGGGCCCGGTAGTACGGTCTGGTTCGTTCCCGACTCAATCAAAAATTCCGAGTTTGAATCCCGGCCGGCACATAAATAGACGGGCACGTTTTTTTTATCACCTTATGCCCCTGCTCACCTAGCAGTAAATAGGTACCCAGGAGTTAGTGAGCAGGATGCAACCCATCGTTGTTATGGGGGGGGGGGGTCAATATTTCAACCTGGGGGGGGTGGGACCTTAATATAAGCCTAACATGTACTGTATGAATAAACTGGCTGGCTGTCCCCCGACAATTTAATTATTTCGCTTAATTAATTTAATAAAGTGAATTAATTAAATCAATTTCAACTTGCTTATCATAAGCAAATTAAATAATATGTATAGTCAACATTAAACAAAATAAGTTACTGGCGCGGAAATCGGCAATAATTAATAAATGGCGTCGCAGATTTACAAAGTTTGCCGTCCATGTAAAAGTGTCGTAAACATTGAGGCGTGCAGATATTGCCTTGTAAATCTGTTGGTGAAAACATGAGAGGATCCTTGGTAAATATGGCGAGCTTGTGCATGTTACCTCTCCATATTGGCAGCCCCCAGCGTGCCTCCTCCTCCTCCTCCTCGCCTCATACCTGACTCACAGGGAGAGAGAGACGGGCTCCCACAGGCATGGACAGAGAGACAGAGAGGGAGACAGAGGAAGATACAGACACGTACTGAGACAGATTAAGAACAATTTAAACGGGACAATAAAGAGTATTGAACAAGTAATAATGCTTCG